CTGAGCCAGTATTGTCTACTTTTCCACATGTCAAAGCAAGTTTAAAACATCCTTTTGAGAAATAAAGTTAGATGAAGAAATTAAAACTGATTTTTTCCTTGAAGCACTGCCGCTTGTGGCTTTCTGTGGAGTCACTCACCAGAGGTTAAGTAATATTACTGGAAAATCGATAGCTTAGTCCTGTTTTTTACAATGGTTTTAGTGTTAATGTTCCTTCATTAAATGTATTAACTTGTTTGGCCAATATTATCATTTTACGTTTTTTTGTGAACCCCGAGGCAGATTAAAATCCTTAAGGAAGTAAATATTTACTTTCACCAGCTGAAAAATCTTGTGCCCAAGAGCCACATGATTATGTTGGAGTTATATTAGGGTGGTCTTTCACCATTTCTACCGCCTATTCCGAAGTGTCAGAGGACATTGATATTTTCCCAGGGGGAGCATTTTACCTAGTGGGTGTGTATGGCTTCTTGGGGCAGAAGAATCTGGGAGTTGCCAGGCGGGCCAAATCTTTCATGACCCCATTCCTCTTTTTCTGACTCAGCTGTATCTTCAGAGTTGTCTCCATCTTTCCAAGAACAGAACAAAATGAACAAGGTAAGTTGTTTATTAATTCCCTACTTTATTTTGCAGTGGACTTTGTGAAATTTGTAAGAGTCAATAGGGTTTTTGTTGTTGTTGTTGGTTTTTGTTGTTTTTTTTGTGAGACAGAGTCTCGCTCTGTCACCCAGGCTGGAGTGCAGTGTCACCATCTCGGTTCACTGCTACCTTTGCAACCTCTGCCTCCCGGGTTCAAGCAATTCTCCTGCCTCAGCCTCCTGAGTAGCTGAAACTACAGGCGCACGCCGCCACGCGTGGCTAATTTTTTGCATTTTATTAGAGACGGGTTTTACCGTGTTGCCCAGGCTGGTCGTGAACTCCTGAGCTCAGTCAATCCTAGGCCTCCCAAAGTGCTGGGATTACAAGCATGAGCCACTGTGCTGGGCCAAGAGCCAATATGTTAAGATGAGAAATTAGTATAAAATAAAAATTGAACAGAAAATAACAGATCAATAGCAGGGCCAAGTTAGAGTCAGTAAGTTGAGCTTCATACGGTCTTATGTTTCCAACAACCGTGGCAGAAAGGAAGACACTGGATACAGACAGACTGACTCCTCTGAAGACACAAAGACTTCCTGGCAGATGCATAGAGACCCACAGTGAATAACCTTCCAGTGATAGCCCTGAAATGAGTACAACCTATTCAGTCAAACTGCTTTTTTAATTTTTACTTTACACAGGTTCCGATTTTCTTTTGTATGTAGTGTTTGATCAATTAAGTTAACATGTATTTTAATTATTTATTTATTTATTTATTTATTTATTTTTTGAGGAGTCTTGCTCTATCGCCTGGCTGGAGTACAGTGGCGTGATCTTGGCTCACTGAAACTTCTACCTCC